GAAGAGAGAGAGAGAGAGAAAGAGAGAGGTTGAAGTAAAGACAGACGGACGGACTGACGGACGGCGGATCCCCGACAAATGGATTAAGCGCAAATTGCTAAACTCTGTTTAATTTGGCCAAATGAATTTTGTTCCGCCAGCCCTCTCTCGTTCTTTCTCCCTCCATCCCTTCTTGTGCATTCTCCCATCCCTTTTCTATTTCTGTTACTCGTTCTTATTTCCGCGCTTAGTCTCGCACTAGATAGAACAATAGACAAACTTTTGGTCAAAATCTTGTTTCCCACCAGAATGTAAGTTGGATTTCAACATAGATAAACAAGTTTTACTTGTATTAAAGTAATATTTTGGAATATTTAATAAATAATTATTAAAGTAATATTTTGTAATATTTTGAAAGATTTAAAAAATTAGTAAAAAAATCAAATTTTTCATCAATGAGAAATTATTTCTTATATTTTTATTCATTCATAAAATAAAAAATTATCATTTTTTTATTCAAACTCTATAGAAATAATACTTGTATATATTTTTTATTCATTCCTAAATATTAAAAGAAACATTTAACTTCAACATACATATACAATCCATTCTACTGTAATAAATATCTAACAAATTATACCTCTTTTCATTTTAATTCTGCACTGACTACGATTTTTAAATTTTTAGTGAGATTAGTGTCTTATGTTGGACGCCAAAATGGTAATGAACTGAATAGTTCTTAAAAATAAATACGAGTGTTGTGAAATCTAAATACTATTTACCGAGCACGAATGAAAATACGACAATAAAAAGCAAAAAAGATTCACGATAGCGATTATTTTCTCGATCGCAAAGAGCGCGCGGCTTATTCAATTCAAATCTTGTATAAAATAAACTTATAGAAAACTATTCCAATAAACGATATGAATACTAAGAATTAAATGCAATACAAATAAATAAACAATCAAAGCTTGCTAGCCTTGTTAGCCTTAAGAGAAATACTTCAATGTGCGATTATTGATAGTGCGATTGGAAGTCGAAGCAAACTTGCGAATAACGCGATTTGTTGTATGAACTTGCATATATACATATACAAATGTGGTAAGTCAGTCGCGTCAAAGGCGACTGACATGATTATGTATCACAGCATGTTGATCCTATGTGTATCGTATGTGGATAAATTCATATAATCTGACTGTATAGACAATATTGTCTCACAATGTTTGTGCAATATCCTTTGAATTGATGAGCGAAACAGAATTTGCATCATTAATATTCGAGATCAAGCGAATAATTCATCCTTCTCTCATATATCGAAAAATATACGCCATCTGGAGTAGACACGAGGCATTCGCGGTGCTCGATCGGTTGTGCACTGAGATATCAATGAAGTATCTTCTACATAGTATTCGCACAATGAACATTCGATATGACTTATTCATCCTGTGACGTGTAAGTCTCTGCTGCGAAAATTTTACGTTATATATAAGAATCTTAAGGCTGTAGCAGCATAGAAATCAGCTGTACGCTATTGATTAACGACAACGCCAAATTTCCATAGCACTTCTACATTTACGTTTTACTTATTTATCAATTTATTAATATATATTTTTAAAATATTTTGTCAACATTTTAATAAGAGCATAAATGTAACATATGAATCTTCATCTATATTTAATACATATATGCTCTCCCGTTTATAATGATATGCATGTTTTCACATATATATATATCATTATAAAATAACAAAGTACAATTTCTCTCTCTCTCTCTC